GAGAAAATTCTCCAAAAGTTCCCGACCTACACACCAAAAACGACAAAACACAAAAGAAAACAGGAAAAACAAACGAAAAACACCTAAAGACACAAAATAAAGGAAAACACATAATAAAGCACGAAACAGACTAAAAACTAAAGAAACGACCTAAAACGGTGGAAAAATAAAGATAAAATAAACATGAAAAATGCAACAAAAAATGGGACAAACATTTATCCTTGGAGATGGACAAATTCTACTATCAATTTGGAGTCACAATGCTTAACATGTATGTTAGAGCCAGAAAAACATTCCCTTACTCAATATACCCAAAACCTGAAACATTAACCCAATTCAAAACCAACTACAAATTACCGGTGGATCAACAAGTCCTAATTGGCAACCTATTCCATAGCAAAACAATATCCCAAAAAATTAGAAACCTACAAGCCTTGGAATGGTATTTTCTACACAAAGTAGAAGGAGACTATTTTGTAATACTAAGGGGTTTCATACCAGGAATTTTTTTACATCGATGAGCTTTGGGTCACTCCAGGAACTGAATACTACCGATTTTCTTCACTCAAGCTCGCCCTTGATTTTTCCAGACAAAACCTACCTACCCCAGTTATTGACTATTCCCTCAAAAAAAAAATCAAAACAAAATTGCTCCAAGACCATGAAACAAATCCATCAAATGTTCCAAAGCATATTGTAAAATTTTCCGCCAAAAACTACTTTTTGGAACTAGAAATAGAGAAGTTCAAATTGGTAAATGAGATTCTCGATTCAAGAGTAAAAGACCTTGAAGACCAATTGGCAAGAAGCTACTCTAGGACGCCAATACAAAAGAAGAATCATATGAGACGCCCTGTTACCACCTCTCATGGAAGCAACAGAAAATACCAGAAATGCAAAGAGAAGATCCATTACATTATTCAAGTGAATTCCCAAGAATCTTCTTCTCGCCAAACCAATAGATGAGATATTTGCCTTGAAAATTTAGAAATTATATCTTCCAAATGGTAAGAATAAAATTCGAAGCAAAAGAGGAAGAAATCCACCAAACCTTGGACAAATTCCTAAAAGAAAGAAAATGATCCATGGACTCAAAATATACCATAGTTATCATCACGACGCAGAGCTATACTGCGAAGCCAATTGTGCTTTAGAATTCACTGAAGGATGCTCATGCACTCTTGATTACAGAATCCCGAAATGTTACATTGATTTTGAAAAATCCTAAACATACTATCCCTTTGGGATCCCAACTCCTACCATGACTATTACTATCCAAATGTTACTTGACCACGGCCTTATTGACCATATTTATTTTGGATCCAATGAAGCCCTGTTATATGAATGTTGTTTGGGAACAAAGTTCAAACTCCTAGTAAAGAAATACATGTTTGAGCAACAAAAACTATATTTCCCGAACAAAGCCTATGTCACGGCTAGGATCAGGTCGACAGCTCCAGAGTGGATAAATTTTGAATTTGGACTAGCAAAGCACGTCATCCTCTTCACCAATGACACATGTAGGTTTGAAACGCAAGAACATGGTCTTTACAACCTTCAAAGTGAGACCCTCCTTAGAGAACAAATTGCACTATGGAAAGCTAGAATGGTAGCTACAAAGTTAGACGAGAAAAAATTCAGACAGCGCGCAACAGGGTTACATACCAGAATAAAATATATAAATTCTATGTGAACAACCACCGAAAGAAATTCTATATCCCGTTTGAACTTAGAACGGCATACGTATACAAATTGAATAGGTACAAGATGGGTGAAAGAGATAATTATGATCCCTTTACAAACACATACATGCCTCCCTATCACAGCCATGGGTACATGAATGAAGACACGGAAGATGAAGACGACGCAGGATAGATTCTCGAACGAACTTTTGGAAAATTGAAATTGTATAAGTATTGTAAATTATGTATTTCCTAGGATTTAGTTGTTTTATTCAAGATGTTGTAATAGCTTAAGAAAAAGAAAAGAAAAAGAGAAAAATGGTGATGAAAGAAATATCAAGAAAAAATGAAAAAAGATATTAAAGTAAAAATATATATCAAAAATAAGTAAAATAATAAAAAAAATCAAGAAAAATCAAAATGTAATCATGATGTAGTTGAAAATAAAACCATTCTACCCCACCCCCACCCCATTATGTCTTCAAACTCCATCTATATAAACTACCACAACACACTTCACACAACACAATTCATAGAGAAGAATAGAACACAAAACTAATTCCTTCTCCCATAAGCTTTCTTCTCCCCTCTCTTCTCCTCTCCTCTCATCTCCTCTCTTTCTTCTCCAAATGCCGAGAGCATTTAGAACGGTTTAAGCTTTCAATAGCTTAACTTTTCTTTTATGTTTTTTAAAATCCCAAATTCCTAAACTCTTTCAAATCCCATATGTATTATTAGTATAATGTTAGTTTTGAACATTCAAAAGATTACTCAAAGCTTTGAAGTCCTGGAGAATTGTATCAAACACCGATTATCAATACAAGGTTCGTATATATTCAAGTTCTTGTTCATTTATGTTTAAGTTCTTGTTCATAATTTTAATCTTGTTTATTTTTGTGGTGGTTCATCACCATTAGTGTTCTCTTTTCTTGCTTTCATGGTGGCACTAGCCCCATATTAATATTAATTATAATTATATGTTACATGGTCGGTTCTACCACCTGTGTTAACATACTAAATATTATTATTATTATTATTATTATTATTATTATTATTATTATTATTGTAACTATATATATGTATATGGTTGGCTTCAAGCACCATAACTAACAAAACCTAAAGTAATTAAATACCTTATGGTTGGCTTTAAGCCCCATAAATTTTAAATTCCGCTATTTACTTTATGCAAATACCTGCTGGAAGTAATTCCGCAATTTACTTTCTGCAATTTACTTTCCGCACTTTAATTTATGCAAATACCTGCTGGAAGTAATTCCGCAATTTAAATTCCGCTCTTTACTATTTATGCAAATACCTGCTGGAAGCAATTGCGCAATTTAAATTCCGCACAAAACTGCTGGAAGAAATTCTGCTACTTTATTTTCTTTTATATGGTTGGCCTTTAAAGCCCCATACTTCCAGCATTTAAATTCCGCATTTAAATTCTGCAAAACTGCTGAAAGTCATTCCGCAACATATAAACTGTTATATGGTTGGCCATTAAGCCCCAAAATTTAAATTCTCGTAATTAAATTACGCACTTAAATTCAAGTATTATTATCTTGTTTACCTAGCGGTATTCACCCCATATTATTAATTGCTTTTGTTATTTATCTTTTGTGTGAAGTTCTCTTCTCCTGTTAATTATTGCCCCCTGCTCGACCCTGCTGCCCCTCTAGTATCAGAGCC